ATGGGTTTTGTCTGGTTGTCCCCCCAGTGCTGCAGGCGGTCATGCAGAGCAGACCATTCAGAGGTGGCTGAATCTAGAACTTGTGATTGGTTCCTTGTCTGGGGATTGGGAATGTGAGTGCTACACCAGCCGGAGGGAGGCTAGCCTGCGTACAATATAAGGGAGGGAAAGAGGCTTGTTATCCGCTTCTGCTCTTGTTGCTTTGGCTGTCTTCCACGCTATGAACTGGAAGCTCTGTGCCATGCCACCCTGCCTTGGAGTCAGCTGATTATGGACTGAAATCTCTACAAACTGTGAGCTAAATAAACCTATCTTCTTTAATTTTGGGTGTTGAGTATTTTGTCTCAGCAGTGAGAGAAAAACAACTAAGACAGGCTCAGTACTTAAGTTTGCTCTTATTTATTTATTATGTATTTTTTATTTATCTTTTTTCATATTTACCTATTATTTAAAATATGTTAAGTGAAATATATCAGATGCACAAGCTTAGATATCACAGGGTTTCTCTTGTATGAGAAATCCAAGGCATGAAAGAGCAAAGGGACAGTTAGACAGTAGGTCACGGGGAAAGACTGCAGATCTTTTGCAGGTGCTAAGGTGGCCAAGAGATGGAGAGGGAGGGAACGGTACATAGGGAAACGGGAAGCAAAAAGGATGATGTATCACCTGCAAGTGCCAGCTGCCTGTGATGAATGTTGTCACTGTGTCCTGTGAACAAGTGCTAATGAAAATAACATACAATAAAGTGCTGCCCTGAAGTTGCCTGCAGGTCCCGTGTGTCATCCATAGGGAGTCAGGGAAGAAGGCTCCAAATCCGCGGAGCTCGGAAGGACAGGCTGCGCACATGGAGTGTCCTTCTGCCCCTGCTCTGAGACGCGCAGTCAGGCTGATTTGCTTTGACTGAGTTCAGAAAGCAGCTGCAGGAAACATAGGTCCCAATCATTAAAGGTCATGAAAATATCATGCTGTGTTCAATCTTCTGTGAGCGTTCCAGTCTCTGTTTGAACTACCCTGAAGTCTATGAGAATTTTAAGGACTTTAGAGTTTATAGTTAGCAAGGGGAAATTTGAGGTTTACAGTTTTTCCAAATGTGAGTAGCAAAATGTTACCAAATACTATATGTAATCCCACTACATAATGTGAGGGTCTTTCTTTTCCCTCCCTCCCTCCCTCCCTTCCTTCCTTCCTTCCTTTTTTTTTCTTTCCTTCTCTTTTTTCTAGCTGAGAAAGAAATTCTTATAAAATGGATGCTCTTAAAAATTTTACAAGTGCTATTTGGGCACATGCTTCAGGACTCCTGTGAATACATTTCCAATGAATTTTAGAAAATAGAATTATGAAAGGCAGATATTCATTTATTCCAATCATTTCTAGTCAATAGTATTCTAAGTGTGAAATCCATAACAAATGGTCATGCTTTATAATTATAATCACTACATTTGTGACACAAGTATTCTGGACCAGTCACATGATCTTCTTACTAATACAGCATTGTTAGTCTCATCATTATTATTATCTCCATCTTATTTATTCTTTTAAATGATGCTTATTGAGTTCTTACTATTTTCCAGTTAGATGAAGACACTTAGGCTTGAAAACTTTAATTGACTTTTAAAAAACCACACTTATTTGGGAATAAAAATAAAATATTCTGATTTTACAGCCAAATTTGTAATTATGAAAATGAAACAAAAGAAATCTAAAGCCTCAGTTTAAAAGCAATTTTAGCTGGGAGTGTAGCTCCATGGCGTAGCACCTGTCTGGCAAGCACGAAGTCCTGAGTTAAATTCCCAGTACGCCAAGAAAAAAGCAATTTCATATTTTGTGTGGTTTAGGCTATTTCTAGGTTATGTAAATATTATTTAAATTAGAGAATTTTAACTATGGGTTGTTTAATGCCGATAAACTATTGTTAAGTATTGTAGAGGAAATTCACTAAATATATTTCCCAGAAATTAGGATTCATTAGAACTGGGTTTTGCTAAACACTATTAGATGAAAGTGTGTTTTCCATACCATAAGGGAAATCTAAACAGTGTGTCAGTTACTGCTCATTTGACCCCTACAGTATCACACCCACAGCAATAGTAGCCTGGTAAGTCAGAAAAGTATGTAAGGAGAAAGAAAGAAGACTCAAATCCTGTTTTATGTCCCCAAACTTGTTCTTTTTACAAATTAAAGTTCATATTTATATGTTATATATTAACATAGAATGTTTATGTGACAATGCCTAAAATAACTCTACACTATAAATCAAATAATATGTTTGTATACTACAATAATGATTAAAGGTGGTTGGCTTACCAAAAGCTAGTTTCTCCCTCCTTATTTTGTTATTATTTTAGATGTAGCTTCAGTCTTTATTCTGCAGATTGTCAGTCTCCATATCTGCCTTCTGAACCTCCACTCCTCACACAACCTCAGCTTGTATGGGATGTGTCACCCCTTGACTTAAGGACTCACCCTCCTGAGGGGTATCCTACTTCTTTGTCTTTTCTTCCAGGAAACATTCAACCTAGTTTTACTCCTTTTGTAAGCCATGTGGAGAAACTGCTAATGTCTTTTCTTTTTATTTGTCCTACTACATATAAGAGGGGTTACATTTCTAAAAGTATTTCAGTATAGATCCATTCAACGTTAAGTACCTGTCTGATAAAGTTTATCTTATAGAAAGATTGAGGTGATATAGTTAAGTAGATAATCCCTAAAATAATTAATCAAGAATCTAAAAGACCATCTTTAGAATAATATAGAATTATTTTGTCTTTAAGTTTTTAATGTTTCAGATTGTTTGAATTTTTTATCGATTTTATTGTGCTGGGAAGACAGAGAAGTTAGAAATGATTTACCTGTTAAGTACATAATCAGTTTGGGATATAAATGTTATTTTATCAAGCTATAAGACAACAGGCTGTCAGTTCTTGATTAAAATTCATTTAGTAGGGTATCAGACTGAATGCACTTAAAAAACTTTGACATGTTAATTTGATTAAATAGATTTAAATTCAGCTGAAAGTTAAGTTCAGCATTAGTCATGGTTAATTACTGTCAGGAAGGATATGTTCTAGCTATTCATTTATAAAATATGAGCTTTGAGATTGCATATGAATTAATTAGATTCCCTTTAATTGTAGCAGCTATATGCAACACATAGCTTCTAGCTGATATAAAATATTTTATTAACTTCGAGAAAATGGACAGTATCCTCATACAAATTTGACAGGATCTAAGAAGAGAGAATCTGCAAAAGATGCACAGCAACATAAATACACCAGATACAACCCACTGTTACAGCAACACATCCCTCTGAGAAAGGAAACTTGCAGGAATTCAGAAAGCTGCATTAATTTGTGACTAAGTACAAAATGATTGAGCACTTCCAATGAACTTGAGCTTGTTATTGGAGAAGAAAATAAGATGCTATTAATGAATGTTAACTTATTTGATAATGAAAATATAAGGCATGGGCTTATATAACATGTACTGATGTGAGTGAGATCCCTGTGCTGGCATTTTAAACCCTATAAATGTTGAGTTAATAATTTTCTATGTCCTGTTACAAATACAAGGGAAAGTTTTCCTCATTCAAATCAGTCATTATTTGTAGCCATAATTGACATAGTTAAGGACTTTTGTTTTTAATGGGGTACATTTGGTAAGAGAAAAAACTTTACATAAATTAAATTTGATCTTATTTGAACAAAGAATGATTGATGAACTGGGGAGCACTCAAAACCAGAAGATGTTTGGGGGGTTCCAAACCTATGTGTGAAGTGGTTATAGGTGTCAAGTGCTGTGATGAGACCTTTATTCGGTTTGGACAAGGTCTGATCAGTGGACTGCCTGTGACTTCCTGGAGCTACTGCTTCTTCTTGGTGTAGAGCCAGATATTTGTTACAAAAATATATACACTAAACTGAGTTTTTGTTTATTAACACACTAAATTTGTGTGCTGCTTTTTATTTAAGTACAAAGTTGGAGACAGCCTCAGGTTTCATGCTATTTAGTTTAGCCTATTGAACATTAGAAAGTGAAAAAAAAACAACAACCAAAAAACCATGTCCAATATTATATTAATTAAGTTAATCAAACACTGCTAATATTTCCACATATTTCTTTCTAGTATCTTCCAAATACTTGCATTATCTTTATGATTTTGATTATAATGTTAATGTATCACCTTTTCCACTACAGTATTTCATAAATGTACTTTGTCTTTTCCTTAGTAGTATACCTACTTTAATTGTAAATTGAGATTCCACTGGTCACAGAAGTAGCTGCACCAGCATCACTCAAGACCCTATTGAAACAAACATTTTGGATGTACAAACAATTTCCAGTACTGTCAGAAAATATAAATCAGCTAATTTTAAAGCTACACGATCATGATTTTAATTTTGCTAATTTAAATTTGATATGGAAACACATGTATCAATATGAAAATAAATTTAGGGTATGAACTGCATTTATAAGGAAAATAAAACTGATTTTTGAAATTTTCTTTCTTTCTATATATCTCCAATTAAATTAGTTTCAGAAGAGGTTATAATAATGACTAATACTCAAATGAAACTTTACATATGTAAAGCCTTTTAATCTTGACAAAGCTATGAAGACTTACTACCATATCCTTATGTTACCTCTGAGGAAATGACTTGGACCTGTGTCAGGTGCCTACCTGAGGTCCTGAGGTTTGCAGGTAGTGACATGCAGTGTAGACTCTGGATCCAAATCTGTGTTCTTACTCATTATGACGTTGCTGCGGAGAGGTTTCAAAGCTGTGTGCATCACAGCGCGGCGAGGGGAGGTGACTGCTCCAGGAGAGAAGTGTGAAGTAATGTGGAGAGAACTTTGCAAAGTTCATTCGTGAGATTCGATACAAATCTCTTCTCCACCAAAACAACACTGGAACTCAGATTATATTACAATTGTTTTAGAACATATTTTTATTTGATACTTTAAAATGCATAGAGACCAAATAATTTTCTATTTATTTTCAGGATTCCTGATTCCAGATGACCCGTTTGGATCTTGTGAGAATAAGTACTGTGGCTTGGGAAGGCACTGTGTGATCAGCAAAGAGACCCGGCAGGCGGAGTGTGCCTGCATGGACATTTGCAGGCAGCACTACAAACCCGTGTGTGGCTCCGATGGAGAATTCTATGAAAACCACTGTGAAGTGCACAGAGCTGCCTGCCTCAAGAGACAGAAGATTACCATTGTCCATGGCGAAGACTGCTTCTTCAAAGGTAAAAGCAGGGCGAGCCTGAAGTGCCGCTTCCTGTTTCCTCCCTACTTTCTGCTTGTTCCCTGCTTTCCAACTTTATAGTTTCATATCAGCAAATATCTAACATCAGCAAAGGAAAACAATGAGGTTATACCAAGAAGCAGCAGTGTATGACAGTTTACATGGATACAGTTCTGATATTCAGCTCTGAGAATAAAGCTGGCCAAAATGTGACTCACAATTTAATATAGCTGTGGGCATTGTACCATGTGGCTTCCCAATACAGTTTTCCTAGGGATACAGGGTGGCCAATTCAGTCTCCAGGCCAAACCCACCTGGTGAAAAGCACCTGGAGTGGCATGAGAGAAGTGACTGCCAAGCCACGCTGTGAGCGTACTGCCCTTCATCCTGATTAGAAGTGATAGCTTCCGTGCACACCACATTGTCCATCTTATATGGAAGCTGCAATTGCTCACTGAAATAACTGGCAAGGACTCATATCAAATTTGGGCAGTCAATCTGAGATGACAATACAGTTCATAAGAAATTTAAAGTATTAAAATGTACTTGAAATGAGTTCTATTGAAAAATTCTTCTGGAGAAATTAGATACATATTTTAATGTATTTTATAAATAGATCATCAAATAGTTTTTAACAGTGTTTATTTATAAATCCGTTGTTTATGATGGCAAGTATATTTTCTTATTAATAGTTATGACCTATTTTGAAGTTCTAGAGTTAATTATATAAAACTTCCATCATCCTAGAAGGTCAGTGATCAACCTGCTTTCTAGGCTTGGGTTCTAATATCCATTTTCTCAAAATGTTCTTTAAGTAGCTTTGTATTTAAAATACTCTGTGATTGTTTATTCTTAAATTTATGGCTGAAATGTGATGTTATTATACTACATTTGCTCAGTTACAGGGCACCTGAATTCATGAACTAAATTCTTTCCACAATTCTGGTCACCAACCGAATTGACAATTTGAATGAAATTCAGTGGTTAGGTTCAATGTTGACCTTATGGGGATATTTGTTTCAGTTCTTGTCCAATTTAGTTTCCGACCAGAATCCTGGAAAGAATTAAGTTTGTGAACTGAGATACCACATATTTTGGTGAACTAAAGATGAAAAATGATTTTTCAATATTGGCAAAAATGTATTGTATCCATATTGATAGAAATGACACACAGGGCTTTTCAAATGATGTAAGACACAATGCATTATAGTCAGCATAGCTACGAGAAGCTCCACATAATTGGTGTAAAATTATGTTTATTTACCATAAGGAATTATGTACAATTTAAATATATATTCAGAGAATGTTTTCATACTAGATTATCTTCTTTCACCAAAATGTAGCAAATTCTTTGGCTTCAAGTTCAGTTCATTCTGCTTTCTATCAAATATATTTCATTTATATTTAAAATATGTTCTATTTTCATTGCACTTTGATGCTCACAGAATAGTTTTCTATAATTTTGAGCTGAGATGGTACAATTAAATCGTTCTACTGATGCATGATATAATAACATTGAGTAAATAGTATCCACTAATGTGAGCATATTAAGATAGACTCATATGCCCCTGCTAAGGTCATATTTACCTGATACCCAGTAATCACTTATATGAAAATACATGACATTAAATACATGTGGGAAAATATTCTGGTACAGTTGATGTTAATTTTATAGCTGGATACTTAGGCATAATGGTCACTCTGTCTCACTCTCTCCTAATGTATACACACACAATCACATATGTATCATTGTGAAATAGATAAAAAGTGACATACATTATCTTCATTATGGATTTCTTTCATACAACAATGGTTTAAAGCTTTTACCCTTTAGGCTTACAATAAGCACAATTATTAGATTTGTGTTTGCATCAAGATACTTTCCCATCACTCATATATGAAAATTTTCTTTATATTATCCGGATAATTTACCAAGAGTTAGAATGTTTTCCAAGTCTCAGGAATTGTGGATTTTCTTCTTATTTGTTTTGCTGTTTTACCTAAGAGACAGGAAACTCATGAAATTATTTTAGCATGAAAGGAATAAATAATATAGGACAAAACCAACTGCCTGTCTGATTATTGTACATTTGGCCAAGTTTGGGATGTACAAGAAGATTCTGTAAAGCTGAAGGCCTGACATTATTGTCATGACTAAAGTTAATTCTGTGATAGGGCTTTATTTTCTGTGACTTTTAAGGAATTTATGTTGTTTCCTTTAATGACTCAATGGAAGAAACAAATCAAAGTATTGAATCTAATAACCACAAAGATTTATAGTAATTAGATATTGTCCAATACAAGAACAAAACAAATCAAACAGAAAACACTTTGCTGCTTCGGAACCAATTGGAGGTGTATGTGGAAACCTGAGATTGCAGGTCATCGAATGAGAACCTATGGACCAAACCCAGACCAGTCTTTTTCATTTATTTATTTATTTTACTAAATGTACTCTATCCTTAGTTTTTCTTTTTTTTGCTGGACCACAGTTTCACCCATCTCTTTAGTACTATTGCACTATAAAAGGAAAGTTGAATACGATAATTGAGTGAGAGATCTTATGGTAGACAAAACATAAATATTTTCATCTAAATCTTTCCATAAAGAGTTTATTGACCTCCACTTTAAAAAATTACTGATACCTTACAACTCATTGTTTAAAATATTAGGTCTTTACTATTCTGTAGCTCTTTGACTATTGCTTTCTAACTAGACAGATTCATATGGTGAAGTTGAAATTAACACATGCAAAAATGAGTGAAAATAAAACAGGAAAACTGAATGAATTCAATGTACTGGGTTTGAAATATCCTGCAGTTTGAAAAATGTTACCACTGGGAGAAATTGGGTGAGTCCCTAGTTTTCTGTACTATGTCTTACAAATGCATATAAGTTTACAATTATCTCAAAATAATAATAAAAATTTAATACAAATGAAGACTATTAGAACATATTTTAAAAGTTTTAAAGAGGGTAACACTTTATTACTTATTTGCACTTTAAGGTAAACCCCATTTGTTTCACATCTGATATATATTTTGCATTAATATGTAAAATACTACAATAGATTGTATAACCATATTCACTGATTCATTAATTTTAAATTGAAATCCAGGGGAGAAACATCTTTATCTCTATGTTGAAATATTTTGCATATTATAAGTAGTACATATGTTCTTCTGATTTGTACTAAAAATTGAAATGCCTCCTAAGAATTTTCTTTAATGATATATGGCTTGTAGACCTATAGATTAAATAATGCGTCTATAGATAGAATATTTTCCTTATTTCCACTCACAGGGAGTTGGTCATGAGATACATAGCTATAGGATATAGAATATTGTACCATTTGTTTATTAGCATCACATACTTTGTGGTGATGTACAGCATAACATAAGTAATCCTGTTTTATACTGTGCTTAGCTATTTATTTCTATAAGAGAATTTGGCCTTGAAGTCAGTTCTCCAAAAGGGCTTTTTAACTGCTGAAATTCACATCAGCACTTATACCCAGTACAATCTCCTCTACCCCTGACATCATATCAGTCTGCCACACACAGCAGAATTTACTTACTCAGAGCATAGATGTTAGCTGGGGTAAGAAACCTCAGTGTGTAACCTATGGGAAAATGAAGAGGGAATTAAACCTTTTTATGAGAAAGTCAATTGAACAGAAACTCTTTTGCCATTTACCGTGCCAAGAATAAAACTGCCATAAAGGTAAATGTTCTGTGCACTTAAATGTGTCGCAAACAGTAACAACTTGGGAAATACGGTTGTTACAGCTGTGTGTGCACTATTTGAATCAGATTTGACAATAAACGTAGTTGGAAGAGGCATTCATATTCCATTTTTAATTTTTTTAAAACGGCTTTTTAAAGAAGAGAACTGTAGAAATTAGGCTATGAAAATTGGGCTGACAATGGCATTGGAAAATCTATCAGTAAATATGTGCTAATCCATAAGTTCTATATGTTGATTTTTTTATGTCTTAAGAGCCTTTATCCTACCATTTACAGAAAAGTAACAATCTAAATAAATAAGCTTTGAAAAATCATACTAGTACTCCTGTTTTGGTGTTAGTCAGTATTATTCAATTGAAAGCTCTAGCTGACAGCGAGATTGATACGTTGGACAGTGATGAATGTAGTTTCAATCCTTCAAGGCCAGAATGCTAACATCTGAATCTGCAAGCCTCTGAGTATGTATCAAAACCAATTTGATTAATCCCTTAAGTTAAGATGGATCTATGTTAAAATTTTCTAATTTGGACAATATGAAATCAATTGAATTGTTTCATTTTTATAAAGAGCTTTGAATTTAACATTTAATCAAACATTTTGTTGCCTTTTTCTACATTAATTAGAACATGAAAGAAAAAATCATAGACAGTGCCCAGTACTGGACAAACTTTAGGTGCCTTATAATACACACATCACAGGGTCCCCACTTGTTCCTAAAATCATATCAAATGCCCCTCCTTCACTGGATTTTGAAAACTCTATAAAATATTTGCTAACTTCACCATATTTTGTGTATTAAATAAATCACAGATGACTTTATTAAATATGCCATAGATGATTGACATGTAATCTATAATATGAGAAATGATCTAAATAGTTGACTAATGGTTATGTTGAATAGTCATTTATTTGATGACTAGAGTCGAGCTACTCGACAAGCGTATTCAAAGTGTCCTCAGGTCTTGGGATGTAGCTCAGTGGTAGAGCACTTGCCTTGCGTGTTTGCGGCTCTGGGTTTGATGTCTATGCAGCATGAAGATATGAAGAACAAGAGAGTGAGGGCAGCACGAGGGCAAGGGCAGTTGCCAGCAATACTACTCACAATAAACTGCACGTTATTCATTTTGAATCACTTTTACAAATATTGTATTATTAAGTCCTCGTTATATCAAGCCTGCTTACAAAAGGTAAGTAGACTGGATTTTTTTTTTTCTTAAAAATCTTATGACTACATGTTTGTAGCACGTAATGTTTG